TGGGTGTATGAGGATTCGTGGAACCAAAGAAAGTAGCTGAGTTTGAAACAACCCTCTTTCTTTGTCTTTTCTTATGACTAAAAGCCTTGCTTTATGTACCGCAGTTTCGGACACTCAAAAAAGAATCGATATCCACCAGCTCTTCTGCTCCCGAAACTGTTAGCAAGCAAGGACCACACAAAAGAATTGATAAGATTAATAGCCCAAAAGGTAACGAGGTCCTGCACTTCGTAAAAATATTGTTTTCATAGTTTCAAAATTTCCCTGTTGGAAATAAAATAAAAATTACCCCACAGGACGAAAAAAAGGAACGCCGTTACTCTTTCCGTTCCAGTAAAAATGTAACGCGTTCCCGTTCCAGTTCCAGCCATTCAAAATGCAACGGCGGCGTTCCTTCGTTCTTCCTAAAGGGAACGCCGTTCCGTACAACACTGCCCTGAAACGAGGGGACAAAAAGGGCGAACCGACACGGAACTCCGAAATCGGAGTTTCATGTATGTCCGTCCTAGCTTTTATATCCCCTCGCTCCAGGGTTACCATGTCTAACACCTTCCGCTTGCAAGTTATCGTCAAATACAGAGGACTGAGTATTTCTAGCTTAGGCGAGTCATGTCTAAGTAATTTTATCAACCACTTTATTTTAAACGGTTATCCGTGAAAACTACGTAATCTAAAATTTCATGTGTCTCCTCACGGTGGTGAAACCTTTGCATTCAAAGCAACCTCCGTGCCTCGTAATTTACTAAAAGTCAGCCCCATTGCAGTTACTAGAAAGTTTTAGGTGGCCATACCGATAACTTTAATAGTTCAACTCAATACTTCGCCGATGCCTTTGAGTATCTACCGTATATCGTTACAAGAGTGGGAAAATAATTTACAAAAACTCCTTACTGTCTCACTGAGAACTATCAAAATATATATATAAAAAAAGTATTTTCTAAGCAATCAGGTTGGATGTGTGCATTATACTGCGCATTCAACACAAAGAGGAAAGCCTCCCGTAGTAGCAAATCTTTAAACATAAATTCTGTTGCAGGTTTAGAATAACTGGGAAAGTCCCTCCCACGAAGCTCTCTGCTCGTCATGATTGGTAGTTTCCTTCCCTCCACTCGTCTCCTCTCTGGCGTTCTCTCTACCGAAGCGAAAGATGGTTCCAACAGAGTGAACTTTAGATAGCCAGGCGCATTGTGTTGCCTTGTTGTCTGACAGTGTGTTCTGACCTTGAGAACTCTAAAAAGGTTCGTAAGGGTCCGGTCGGAGAAGGGAGAACTGCCCCGAAGTTGGGTAAACAGAACCTTTAGATAACAAGGCGAGGCGTGCGCAAACTCGGGGAGAATGCGGGGGTGGGATGGCTGTATAAAAGGAAGTTTTGGTGATTAAACCTGTATTTGCTGAGTTTTGTGTTTGTTCCTCCTGGTAAACCTCCCTCTCGGGTTGTACACGGTCTTATTTAACCAGCTGGCCTGCATAGTTACGTTGTCTTGAAAGAAGTATAGGGCGTTTTAGAAGGAGCTTGTCTTTTCTTCAAAATGCATGCTTGAAATATTCCTCTACTCAGCTTTCTGGCTTAGAGCGTCAGAGTTTAGGCATGAACTTCAGCAGAATGCATTCCACAAACTAATAAACGTTGATACAATAAAAATCTCCACAACTCGCAGGTTTTTGTTTTTAATAAATGAAACTGATTAAGCATCTAACCTTCGCCAACAACTCGTTCGATGACCGGAGGTCTTCTGACTGGCAAGTTTTGGGGGCTGTTCTTCGTCGTCCCTGCGGATAACAAGGTACACATCAATTGTAGACGTGTGTTTGCGCGCGTTCAATGGAGGAGACAACCCCCCCCCCCCCCCCCCCCACAAACTACGTTCACATGAAGTGCTGCACTTAAGTTTCTCTGCCACATTAATAAAAATGTACCTTATAACTACCAGCAATTTACATTAACCTACTAGCTGCACACAACTGAAATTTGCACATTTGACGCGACGACGCATCATTCGCGCCCATTGCAAACGGTAGACATAATAGCAAGAATCGTCCGAAGTGAATTCCACTAAATACTGTTATCTCCACTCTTAGAAACGTCTCGTATTTGTAATTTGTCTGTATTCCTCGCCAGTTTCAAGACCCGCTATGGGGCAAATGCTCAAAGAATATCATCTTTCAATGCTTGAAACGCTCTGGTAGAAATTTTTTTTGTGCGTTATTCTTTTTACGAAGATCAGTTTGTGCGCAATTTTGTTATAAATCTAATCACGATTGCAGGGCAGCTTAAAAAAAATCGGATGATTGTGTTTTTCGGGGACTGTCACCGCAAACCTATGTTTGCTCTCACATTAACTATAGTTTTTGCGCAAGCTGAGACGCGATATGACGCCGACAAGAACTGAAAACAAATATACGCTTTATACAGCATCAGATTTCGACTACATTCGATGTCTAAACTGCCGAAAGCGCACTGGGGATTTGTCTAGTACGTCAACTTCCCGTTAGAAAATACGCAGAAATAACCGACAAAAAACTATTCGTGAGATCGATATGCTTTTTAACTGCTTCGTACCTTTCGTCCTTGCGAATAAGAAAGTAACCGATAAAACCAATATAACAAATAGGGCTATCCATGGCTTGGCTGGCCAGCGACATCTTCGCCTGCAAGAAAAAAAATCTTAAAATGTCACGGTTTTTCTATAAAAAAGAACAAAGAACAAACAGAAAGTTACGTTTAGTAGAAATAAATAGAAAATTAGTCGATGTCGGTTGGAAAGCATTTCTACTTAAATTATTCACGAAAAAAAAAATAAAGATTTGCCGCACCCTTGCATTGTTGATGTCAGTGCGCTTGTGCTACATTAACGGTCACTATGGGTGGAACACTTGTAGTCACCGTTCCTTATGTTACAAATGTTTATTTCTTAACAGTACTTTGTTATACATTAACACGCGGAGAGAGGAATGCGCTCAATTTTATGCAATTTTTTTTTTCTTTTTTACGAAGTAGCAAAGTGTGAAAAATGTGCAAGATGTCGTACTTACTTATTATCTTAGAAGAAAACAGTATTTATCGGTCAATCATGCTAGAGTTACAAAACCATCGATCAATCGTCTCTCATGTTTCACACCCTTTGTTTACTGACAGCCCAGGGGCCCTAACCTACACTCTCAGAACAAAAGGGGTATATTCTTACACCCTTTGTCCTATATAACACACCCCAAACATTCAGTTCTACGTGCAGCGCGCTGACGTCAAACCGGCGGTACCAACTTTCACGAGCTGCTTGAGAGCCGAGTGCTACAATTTTTTAAAATATCTAATGTACGTGTTACTGACTGCAGAAAAATAATAATAATAATCGGAGTTTTGTTGGCCATACTGCAAAACCTCAGTGTTTTCTTTTTTTAGTCTATGATACGTACAGTGGATAGGGCGTTGATAGGATATAAAAAAGTTAAACGAAATATTAAAAACATGTCACATGACAAAGGCGTGAATGTTTTGACAATGCCAGACATGACAAAATACTGACTCACCTTCTAACTCCATTGAATGGTTTATTATTTATACTGGTTTCATCGCTGCAAATATTGCAAGACGCCAAATCAAAATACTATCCACTTTAAACCCGACCGATCCAATGGAGCCAATTAAACGGCGCCAAAACTGCACCGTCACGACGCAGCTTCTCTGCACTCCGCATAGAAACTGAAGTCGATGGCGGGTTTCTAACGAACCGAGGTAGGTCACTTGCCAGTCACGTAGCCAGGATTTTGTTTCGGGGGGGGGGGGGGGGGGGGGGGGGGGGGGCCCATGACAAAATGCTGTATGAGGGAAAGGGGAGAGTAGGAGGCCCCAACATAATGGAAGGTCTTCGGGGGGGGGGGGGGGGGAGCGGGCCCCATGCCCCCCCCCCCCCCCCCCTGGCTACGTGCTTGCCACTTGCATGAGGGGGTGCACAACGTTACTCAAGATGCTTCCCACGTACCATACGCACACTTTGGTGCACGAAGTAGAGAAGACAAGAACAACAAAAATAGTTGGGCACTCTTCTTTGATACATCTTTCAAATTAATCTATCGGGCCTAGAAATGCGTGCAGTCAATATCCGGGTGCGGGATCCTCCCAACATATTGCTTGGTTTAGGTTTTTGTTTTTGTTTTTAATTTGCCGTAAATATAGGTTACGCTGCTCTGATTTGTTTTTGGTTACTCTTCCAAGAGCGGTGTCTTTGCCGGTCTAATAAAAAAAATATCAAAATTAATACTCCTAGCCAAGCAATAAATGGAAATAACCATTAACCTTAATAAATGACGTCATGTGAAGTCATGCAATGGCTGCGAGACATTGCGACAGGCTTGGAGCACACAGAATGTTACAGGCGCGATGTAGTAACATTCGGAAGCACTTGTTATACTTACTAGCTAAACATGATCGCGAGTAGTACATCTGGCCGCCATCATGTCTCTTGTCGTGTGAGCAAGCAAGTGCAATTGCAAGCCTGCCAACGTTAACCTTGAAACATTCAACATCAGATTCCCTATTTCTCTGAATCGTCATGCGTGCAACCACGTGCAAGCGCATGCGGAAGTTGCTCGCACGCATGGAGCACAAGCCAGAACGTCATGCTTACAAGTGACAAGGTTGGCGGCAGGTTCGCTCGCCAACCTTCTCAAGCGAATAAGATATTCTCAAGCTCCTGCTAGGCTGTCGCCGCCCTGGTGGCCAACGTGAAAAACAAAAGGAGGGGGATTGTTTTGCTGTGAAGGCTCGCAACGTAGGTGACGGAGGCTCGCAAACACAGCCAGAACGAATATTCACGCCAATAGTACGATAAACGGGCAACGTGATGTCCTACTAGACCCTAGGTGGCAACAAGACGTCGAAGAAATCGTCCCCTCGTCACTGTATACGCCGCCCGACGGTAATTGTTCAGCCGTCCCAGTGGCATCGGTTTCCCCCCTCAAGAAGCTTCGCTGCTTCGCTCCTCCTTGCCACGTCAGGGCAATCAAGTTTGGTGTGACACGTCGCGCCACCTGGTCCAAAATATTTCCAACACTGAGAAGGCTCTTTCGGCAGCTGTGCCTGATCGTGTGGGTCGAGACTCGCTTCCTCGGCGTTAATTTAAAAGTTGTCTGGTTTCCCTGGCTTTCGATACGCCTTCAGTTGTCGCGTGCGATCCCGGATGCCTCCGCAGAAGACCAAGCGTCGAAGGGCATCGAGCGTTCGGTATTGTTGCGTGAAGGGCTGTCACAACCGAGAAGGCCTAGCTGGTGTCAAGCTCCACAGGTTCCCGTCGCGGCCCTGGGAACAAGCACGCCGCCAGCGATGGATAAATGCCGTAAGGCGTGTAAAGTAAGTTCTCCGTGTTAATCGCAGAGCTCGAGACGCATTGCTAGGTGTGCTTTTTGATTTGATATTTCAATGAGGACGGTCGAAGCGCGGCGTTTTTATCATTTATGTTCGATGCGGCGAACTTCCTAGAGCCAGGTTCATGCTGTTGACATGCCGTCTTCTCGGCGGACTATTTTTGTTTGAACTGCGTTTTGAGGACAGTTGTGCCAATGTTTCGCGGAGCATTTCCTGGAACTGCGTTTCGTGAAAATTTTGCGGAGATCAGCTCACTTGGTGAACTGCTTCGCGAGGCCAGAACCTGTTTCAATTCCAGTAATGTGATCAGAGAACCACACATTCTCTAATGTTCGCGAACCGTTGCGGGCCCGTGTCAGTGAAATCTTTGTTCGAGCAGCTTTCAGCCAGGTATTTTACGCTTCCTTCTTGCGTGTACTGAACCCAAGTGCTTTTTAAAATATAGTTTAGTAGAGATTCCAACCTTACCGATTGAATTCCCAATTTGACTCGGGTGTTATATTAAATAGGGACGGGGAAACTAGAAAACCACACAAAGCACCAGTTTAAATGAGCATAGTCTGCATACCTTGCTGCCTCCTAGATATCAGTTGGGTTTGAAGCTAATTCTTGCATTCATTACTTCAGCGATGACGGTTCAAACTGGAGTCCGAACGAGAGCTCCAGGATATGCTCAACTCATTTCCTGAACAACGAACTCAGCAATATCGAGAACCACCCTGGTTACTACCCAACGCTGTTCCCAGAAGTGTACCGGAAGAAGTCTGTGGATCCTGAGGCTCAACTTGGAAGGTTCAGCAGGTAAATATTGACTTTATTCACCTTTGGTTTGTTGCTCGCTATGTGTGTGGTGGTATGTGTGCACTGGCTTGTGTGTCTGCCGGCATCTTTATGGGTGCTCGCTCGCTGTAGTGATATTAAATTCTACTTCCTCATCTAAGCTAAGCAGATCGTGCGACTGTGCGCCCTGTAAAAAAAAGAAAAAAAAAAAGCACGGGGGATTGTTTGAGAGAGATTCTGCCTGAGAGATTGTCGTGTGTCTGATTCTCTCGTATGCCCAGCGACAAAACTTGCTCAACAACTGTTAATACTGTTGGAAGCTATATTTACGAGGGTTGTTTGAGAGGTAATAATGTTACCTGCGAAGGAGTTGCCCGAGGTCGATGGCACTTGAGAAATCTACTTAGTTCTCCTTGAGCGTTATGCACTTACCGGTCATATTCCAATGTATCCAATTCATAGAGAAAAAATTGCTATTTGTCTTGGTCCTCACACTACTCACATAAAGAGTGCGATGGTATGGTCACTGTGAAAAGGCTGCTGTTTTAGTGCAGAAAACAGATGAAGGTTCTACGGTGCCAAATCTGGTGAGTATGGTGGGCAAAACAACAGTCAATGTCACATTCATGAATTCACTGCACAGAGGTGCGGGTGTTGTCTTACTTCCACGACATTCAAAAACAGAAACGACGGCAATATGTCGTCGTCTCGGTTTTTTCGTCCTTCAGCAGATGACACAGAATGGGACGGCAGCACGTCGTGTCTGTTTCTCGAGTCGCAGGTCCTTCGGCAGATGAGGGAGAGTAGACATGGAGTGCGACGGCAGCACATTGTCGTTGCTCTTTCTCGACTCGCAGGTCCTTCAGCAGATGAGGGAGTGTAGACACGGATTGCGATGGCAGCACATTGTCGTTCCAATTTCTTGAGTTGCAGGTCCTTCAGCAGACGACATAGAGTAGACACAGAACGGGACGGTAGCACATTGTCGTGGCTGTTTCTCGAGTCGCAGGTCCATCAGCAGACGAAGGAAAGTAGATACAGAACAGGACGGCAGCACATTGTCATTCCTATTTCTCGAGTTGCAGGTCCATCAGCAGACGACAGAGAGTAGACACAGAACGGGGCGGCAGCACATTGTCATTCCTATGTCTTGAGTCGCAGGCCCTTCAGCAGACGACAGAGTAGACACAGAACGGGACGGCAGCACGTCGTCGTGGCTGTTTCTTGAGTCGCAGGTCCTGCGGCAGACGAGGGAGAGTAGACACGGAGTGCGACGGCAGCACATTGTTGTTCCTATTTCTTGAGTTGCAGGTCCTTCAGCTGACGAAAGAAAGTAGATACAGAACGGGACGGCAGCACATTGTTGTTCCTATTTCTTGAGTCGCAGGCCTTCAGCAGACGACAGAGTAGACACAGAACGGGACGGCACCACGTCGTCGTGGCTGTTTCTCGAGTCGCAGGTCCTGCGGCAGACGAGGGAGAGTAGACACGGAGTGCGACAGCAAACACATTGTTGTTCCTATTTCTTAAGTCGCAGGTCCTTCAGCTGACGAAAGAAAGTAGATACAGAACGAGACGGCAGCACATTGTCATTCCTATTTCTCGTTGCTGCTTGGAGGGGCACGATGTTTGACAGAGTGATATGAAGCATTGTCCATTACTATGAGTGACATGAAGCATTGTCCATTACTATCACACTCCTGGCCTTGATGTTTGGCAACAACTTCTCTGCAAACCACTTCTCAAATCGCTCTAGTGACACACCAAAGATGACAATGTCGCACTCAGTGTGTACCTTGTGTGGCTCGGGCACATGCAATGAAATGGAACCTTTTCGCCCCAACTGGGAGTTCATGACATTCATTTCGTCCTCTTATGACATTGAACATATGACATGACACCTGCGATTCTCGATATTCTGATAGGAAGTGTATAGTGCAAGATTAGCAGATATGTATTTGATTGTGCATACTTGTTTGCAGGTGGCAGGAGCGATCAGCATGTTCAGGTGCCTCAGCTGCAGGATCTTCAGGACTACCATCTACAGGTGGTACCAGCCCAGTGCCTTCTGAGCATGATTCAGATTCCAGTGGAAGCCCACAACGGGGGTTGGAGCTGCTGTGTGAAGCTGTAGAACTTCGAGAAAAGTGTTCAGTGGTGAGTTGGTAGTTATTATGTATTTCCCCCCCCATCTTTTGATTGCAGCAAGGTGCATCAGAAGCTGAAAAGCAGAGACTCAAGCCAAAAAACTAGCCGTTTGATTTCTGTTACAGTTAAAGCAGTACTATGAAATTGATTACATTTTGGTACCGTATTTACTTGAGTCTAAGCCGGCATTGATTTTATGCCCATCCCAAAAGGTAGAAAAATAATAAAAATATATCCTCGATTGTAAGCCAATCAAAAAGTAAAGAACACCATGCACTTTTAAAAAAAAACTGGCTCGTGCTTTCAACACTTATTTCGCTTTTGCTTGAATGATTTTTGTGATCATAGGAAGTGTCACTGTTTTCTGCGTCGTCGAATGGATCACTCGAAATAAAATTGGCCAATATTAACGAAGTAAATAAGTTTACTGTGGTTTGAGTGAGGTATTTGACACTAACCGGAATACATAAATCAGGAGAATGCTAAACTGGTGACGCGAGCTAAGATAACCAGCTCTCCACAAAGCCGTACAGGAATCAATCTCTTAGTTTTGCAATAACCGTACCAAAAACCAAACCAGTTGTTTTTGTTGAATCTTTGCTGGGAAGTGATAATTTGAAAATGAAAATCTGGAAAGTATCAGAAAACCAGTTGACATGTCATTCACTATAGATATGCATATCAAAAGCCGAGCTAGTCGGATAATGAAAAAATATGTGCTGACTGACCTGTACAGTTGCCAGTTGGGGTCAGGAAATCTGCAATGCTATACTCCGTTTCACCTTCAGTCCGAGCGCAGTGGACGCCACGAGCCATCCCAGCCGATCCAGCGCCGGGAGAAAGTCGCGTGACCTGCCGGTGGGGCGGGGCCACACCGGGAGCTCAAGGTCGCATGACACTCCCTCAACGCCGCATTGGCTGGGGTGGCTCCTAGCGTCCGCTGTGCTCGGACGGAAGGTGAAACGGAGTATAGTTACAGCTACACATTGTCAATCACGGAAAGGCTAATTCTTTGGCTGATAGAAATGAGACTGGGGATTGTGAGGCACGCTGCAGTGCATCCAGTGCCTTAACTCCCTTAGAGCCGCGGTCTTTCAGCACTCCAACAAATTCATGTTTCATGGCTGGCCTCGCTGAATGTTCAAGATGGGAAATGCTTTTTCAGGAGATCCAGACCGATGAACTCGGTACTTGCAGTCGAGGCTTCACAGTCTTCACGTGCTCCCTCGAAGGCGGCGCTGGTTGCACACAGATCACACATCGCGAGGTCTGCGACTTTGGGACACAGCACCAGCCAGAGTTGTCTTCAAAGTATTCAGGTCCAAGCGAGAGGACCAGTTTCTTCGGAGGTTACGAGAGCATCCGACATTCGGAGGATGCATTACAAGGCATTTGCAATGTAAGCATGAGTGTATTTGCTTTGTTTTTGAGCATGTTGCCCCTTGTCACCGAGCGGAGCTGTGATGTAACGCTGGGGAACCGGCTGCTCCTCTTTCTCATGAAAATGAAGCTCGGGTTGAGCTACACTGCTCTTGGTGTGATTTTTAGTGTCGATAGAACTACAGCATCGCGCCACTTCCGAGCTGTGCTGACAACGTTGACTGCTGCGACAGCGAGGTGGATTTTTCGGCCTCCCTCTAGCATTATTCGAGCTACGTTGCCAGAGTGTTTTAAAGTCAACTACCCTGAATGCAAAATGATCATTGATTGCACCGAAGTAAGAACAGAGGAGCCAAGTAGTGTTGGCCAGCAGCGCGTGCTGTACTCGAGCTACAAGAGTGGCTACACTCTCAAGTTTCTGGTCGCTGTAACCCCTAATGGGGCTATTTGTTTCCGTTCGAAGGCATACGGAGGCCGATGCTCCGACATCCATGTTACGGTGGACTCTGGGTTCTTAAACATTGTGCAGCCGGGAGACGTAATTCTGGCTGACAAAGGTTTTCCGGGCATCAGGGCAGGTCTGGCAGACACCGATGCGGTGCTCGTGATGCCACCTTTTTTATCGGGGAATGGACAGTTTAGTGAGCAAGAAGTGCGCGACACTTATGACATTGCCCAGGTCCGAATTCACGTGGAGCGTATGATACAGCGAATTAAGATATACAATATCCTCAGGACAACGGTGCCCATTACTCTGATCCCCCTGATGGATGATGTTTTCCACATGTGCTGTGTGCTGGCAAATTTGCAACCTGCCATCATCAAGCCACAGGAATAAGCGGCAGTATGTGTAGGCCCATTCAGACGAATGGCAAGGCTTGGTATGTGGCTCCAATTTCTCGTATGGGGGTCGACTCTTCCTGGGTACCAGCGTAGGCTCCAACGAGCTTGAGTATCACTTAGAGCGGTAAACCGCAACCCAGGGCCTACAATGGAAATGGCACCACCCCCCCCCCCCCCTGGTTGCCGCCATCTTACCCAATTGCCACATTAGTGATCACGTGAAACTAAGATGGCTGCGCCCAGAGGTGGGCCAGGTCAGATTGGCCAGATCACGGTAAGCAGAGGGGACCTCTGAGGCTGCGTTCGAATCTTACTTGAATGGATCCGCATTATTCCGGTGGGTCATGTCACGTGACAAGACTGATAGAGCAACTGGACGCGGGTAGGTTTTCGAACGCCAAGGTACAGAACATTTACCCTAGAGCGAGATCAAGTGAATTTTGGACTGCGGCCCTGCTTATTGTAATCTGGCCAATCTGATCTGGTGCACCTATGGGCGCAGCCATCTTAAAGTCACGTGATCACTAATGTGGCAAACGGTCAGGATGGCGGCAACCGGGGGGGGGGGGGGGGGGGTGCCATTTTTGGCCTATGGTTTACCGCTGTCAGTTTACTCAAGCTCGTTGGTAGGCTCTTTATTCGCAGACGAGTTCTCTGCCAGTGACTGTTTTGAAGGGGCCCTGCAAGGACTTTTTTACTGGTTTTAGTTTGCACCGAACCTGATCGCACTGGACGTAGTGACTTAGTGAAACTTTTATTTTCTCGAAATTCGCTTTATTTTAGAAGTTATAGGCAAATTAGAATTACAAAAACAAGCAAAAAATAACCTCCCTCGTGACGTCCTTGGTTGCTTGAGCGGCCGTGAACTAGAGGAGGGGTAGTGGGCTTATCGCGAGCGCTCACGACTGCTGCACTTTGTGTCACCGGCGCGAGAGGGCGCCACTAAATCATGTTCTGGATAGGCTGTATGCAGCGGGCAGCCAGAGCGGCTCTCCTTGCATTTGCTGCGCGATTAAACACTATTTCGGCATGACACTTCATTGGCCACAAACAACGGCAAACACAGGGTAAAGATCAGTTCAGAATGGGAGCCACTCCGCGCTGGCATACCGCGAAACGACCAAACCGCAAAACACAGCTGCTCGCCGAAGGCCTTTGGAACGCTCAGAGCCGGTAGGATTCTCCAGTCTGTAAACGACTGCAGCGCCGCCGCGTACATCCGGGACCTTTCCGTGTCGGCGCCCGATCCCACTATGTCGACGGGTCATTTCTTGTTTCCGTACTTTATAAACTGCATTTGTTTCTTTCGTGCTCTAAAATACTGAACAAAAACTACTTTTATAAATAATTGAAATGGTTCGCGCCACTTATATTTTGTATTTCGACTAAAAAGAAGCTTTTAGCGGCTCTGACCAGTAGTAAGCCCAGGACCTAAGACGTCGCATGTCGCGCGCTTTCGGTACCGCGGGAGGTTTCTGCGTCGTCCGGTTAAAATATGATGCACTGATATTTAGTTACTCTCTCCGTGCCCGCTGGCTTGCCCGAACCCCGAAAGACGTGGAAACTGCAAAAAAGGTAGACGCTGAAATATGATTGCAGGGCCCCTTTAAAGGGAAGTTATGGAGCTTCTTGAAAAAAAATTAGTTAGAAGTGAATTCTAGTGTATTTTTACCCCGTAAACCCAAACCATTTGGTACGCAAGTATTGTTAAACGGGGGGAAAAGGCGAAAGACAATCGCTCTATGTGACGTCATCGACGGATCTTTTGGCTGTCCAAGGCTAGGGAGGCGGGGCTTCAGCCCTATTTAGAAATTGCTTGTATGGCTCTCGGGCGCATCGCATTGAAATATAATTGTGATATCTCTTATTCTAAAAGCCAAATGAACACAATTCAAGCGTTTTTTTTTTTTTTTTCGAACATAAAAGTGCCCCATCTTCCCTTTAAGCGTTCCTGTATGTAGGTCATCTCCTGTTGTAAAAGATGTTTGTAGCTTTTTTATTAGATGTAAAGATGGTTGATAGCTTTGAGTGTATTTTCCATGTCCTAGGGGTTCTATTGTATAATGAAAGTGTGAAATCCGAGCAAGTTTTATGAGTACCATTGTGTTTGTCATTGAGAACGAAGCAGCGGCAAATGAAAATCACACACCTCAGTGCAGAAGTAAACATTTCGATTGTAGGATTATATTTTGTGCACTCTGCTTCACATTTCAGCCTTGTTTTAAACCACCAATTCCTAAAAAAACTGGCAAGTATGCAAAAGAAGCATGGAACACTGTTGCAACTCATGCTGTCTGCAGTGAATTGAATGCAGTACTTTATTTTTTGTCACTCTTACTGATGTGCTTAGATCTGGTACTTTTGCGCAAGGGCTGGCAGGTACCAGCTGAAATAAAACCATTCCAGAGAAGGGATCTCATTGTTCAAAAACTTGTCATTCCTGGGAACGAGCACAGTGGCATCATGCTCATCACATGTGTAAACATAAAAATAACAAGATTGTAAATCCAGCACAAACATCAACACTTGCACTTGTGTGTAGTAGTTGTGCGATGGTTTCAGGCACAACTTGTCATTAATGTACACCAGGCAGCTGGTGAATGTCTTCCTCTTATTGGCGTCAACGACCGGTTGCCCTTTTATCGAGCTAGGGCACTTGATTTCCAGAAGGACTGTTTCTCCATCTTGCTGAAACACTCCGTCAGCACTGCCGCAAAGCCAAGACCTCTCTTGATGCACAAGCAGGCCCACCTGAAATGAAAGTGAAATAATGCTGTGGAAAGTAGACCTCCTAGCACACCATTTCATAACATGGCTACACCTGTCCACTTCAACCACTGCACTCGGCGTGAATTCTTCTGGGGGATACTGTCGAAGCAATTAGTTTCCACATTGCTTTAGGGTCGCACCGTTGTGCGAGCACCTCACTTTGCCTTGTCTCATTCTCACATGCAAAGGAGTTGCCAAGCAATGCCAAGCACTCGTGCAAGTAGCTTTGAAAATGCTGCAAGCACTATGTTCGCCTTGGCAACATAGTGCCTGCAACTGAGAAGATGCAGTGAGAACTTTGTGTGTTTTAGAATGTGTATGTGGAGGGCAATACTGGTTTCTATGATAAGAAAACAATGCAATGCACTAATGTGTGGGTGTGTCAAACATTAGTCTTGTCATCTTTTGAATTGTGGACCGGTTTCACCGCAACTAAAAATTTATTTAGGGTATTTGAATAACGCACCTCCACGATATGTGCTCCAAACTTTTCTTCGAACCGTCGCCGTGCTTTTGGTTCAGTCTGCAAGCCTGTGTAATTGAAATTGGTATTAGCATATATTGTGAACACTCAAAGCCTAAATAATACCATAAGTCGTTGCGCCGCTTGAAAAGCTTGTGGTGTTCATCAAGCTCGCAACAAGATCCTGTGGAGTCTTCCTGGTCCGGAGGATGGTATGTGCTATTGTGCTCGAAATCCGCACCTTGCGCTCTTGGTACCACCTGTTGGTATCGAGAACATGAATTTAATCTGAGGAACGGAGTTTACAGCTATTCTGAAAAGTAGTGTTAATAGAGTAATCTTCAGCACCAGGCACATGCAGGCCAAGGCAAGAAAGTCGAGGAAAAAAAACAAAAAACTCCAAAGCAAACAGACAGTGCAGATTTTGGGCAATAATTTGCTAGTGGAAAGAGCAGATCCTTCAGACCTTTTGAAATTGCATTATCAATACTGCGGTTTCACCACTTCAAGAGTACAGTTTCGCATGAAACCTCACTACAAAGCTGGGCCTCTCGAAAGCACCCCAGATAGGTGCCAACATGCACCCTGACCTCTGAGGAGGTAAAAGATCTCACTGTGCACACTTGGACTGTGCCATCGTTGCCATGCAGATTCCGAGTACATCACGAGAAGCCACTCTTTTTTGAAAGAATGCTTTCTCGGGGTCTGTGAGTTGATCTTGACGGTACTTCAGTGCCTCTCCGTCCGAAGCCTGATGCGTTAGATGTTGCAGCACCACTTCCACTTCAGACTTCCTCACAATGGTGACCGCATCATTTACAATGTCTTCTAAGAGCTGGGCACACTCCAGCTCTACTTGATTCTGTCCTGTCAATCGCAGAATGTCCGTAAATGGGGTGTCAATGTCTGGGAAATGGTCAATGATGTAGCGTGGCAGCACCTCTCGTGGCTCTTGTTTTCCTACGAAGTTGCTTCGGTTGCCTGTGAAATTAACATTGCACGCCATTAACAACTCATAAATACAAGGTTGTAGATAATTAAAAAAAAAAAGGTTAATAAGGTCCAGATTGCATGCAGGGTTTGGGGGAAAATTGCAGTTTGCGTCAGCAAGATATTAATCAATTTGGGGTAATAGTTGATGTTTGCTTGCCCATGCTTGGAAACCATCATAGCTGTTTAGCTTGCAGAAGGGTGCTAGGTAGGGCTAGTTGCTAAGACGACATAGTGAAAAGTGCAGCACACAAGAAACTTGACACACAACACCTATGTTTCGTTTCTCTCCTTGTCTGTTGTGCACTGTAATTTTTACATATATCTAACTCGGGAGTCACTTCACAGGTATAATCTAAAAGTAAAACCAATGATATTGATAGTTATGCTTAACAAGGAGGCTGTAATTCTCCGTGACGTGCGGGACTAGGCTAGATACTCGGATCCTGTGCAATACTTTTATTTTTTTCTGTTGAACAGCACCCAAAATAAAACATGTGCATAAGCTCAAAACAGTGCTCCGTGGATACATTGTATCGCTGGTGTCTGGTATTCCGTTAGGCGCGGCCCAATCGCCAACCCAGCAGTAACTTGCACGATAACGTGTACGACTTGACACTAGCTTTTGCGACTCGTGAACGTCAACGCCACATAACGGTGCTGCAGCATGCTCGTGAACCGATATGGCTGCACTCCTACCTCCAAAAAGGTCCCCGATCGACGCCTTGTCGCTTAATTTCGGCCTCTTTGAAGGCTTGCCCCACGCTTGGGGCACGCTAGTGCAAGCGCTGACCTCGTGCGTGTTGATGTAGTGCACTACAGCGGCGCTGTGCTTGCACTCGCCGAGGACACCGTACCGGCAAGTGCAGGACCCGGCGACGACCTTTCGCGAGTCTTGGATTAGCTGTGCAAGGAAAACATTAATAAATCACCCTTTTGTCCATGTAAATCTCGATAATATATCTACTCCTCATTGCTTGCACTCACCTGGAGTGTTACGTCGTACACGTGTTTTCCCTGCTGGGAATGGCACTTGGCCGCGATGTCCGTGCCGTTCTCTTCCCGCACGCCATACACGTGGTTGTTCTGGAACAACCTCTTCCCCTTTTCTAATGCCTGGTCGCGATAAAAGTTGCCGATATCTTGAATTGGTTTGAATCCGCAAAATAAAATAACGGGTGGCATCTTTCACGTGATACCGGCCGTGTCGCCGATTTAAGCCTTCTCAGTAATACGGCATTTAGCCACGGTGGCGCTGGCGATCAACCGACGGTGGCGCGCCCTAGGTACACTGCCCAGGGGGTATCACGATCTGTGTGTGCTCGGTGGCTGGATGATTCTCATGGAGCTGTCTTCGGTCGTGGCAGTGGCCGTAAAAGCGTAAAAGTCGGTGCGATCATCGTCGGAGCTCCCCGCTTGCCGAGATAGCCCTAAACGAAAGTTATCCCGGTCGACGGATGGTCCACAAGATCTCCCACGCAGAATCTGAAGAATAATTCTGACAACAAAGGAGAATTATACGTTGCTCTATCTTAGATATAACAAACGTAAGTACACTAAGCGCAATAGGAAGTTTAGTCGCGGTTTTAGTGAGAGTGCAAAACAACTTTGCCAACTCTGCTCCATCGTGTGTGTTTTTTGTTTTGTTTTTTTCAAAAGAATTTGCACGGTTACTTTTGCAGCTGAAGGCAATTCGCGATTGGCGGTGTTGTTTTATTAAGCCGAGGACACATTGCTTATACATCATACAAACGACAGTCTTCATATAGATTTTAACTCGATTCACCGCGAGATTTGTGCTTCGAATGCCGCATGGCAATGAGTTCAAGGAGAAAACTTAGCACGCGGCATTCGAACCGCGGATATTCCGGTGACTCATGTTTGCGGACTGCCTTTTGTATGATGTATGAGTAGTATGACCCCGGCTTTATTATTTGTTCTCATTGTGTATGATGAGTGGAAACGTATTGGTCGAAGTGCTATCGATGCTGAGCCTTGAGTTCGCTCGATTTAGAGCATAGCATAAATAACCCATTAGGGACTTGAAATTACGCTGTTGGATGTCAAACAAAACCGCTATATCAGGGAGTGATTCCTCGTTATTCTTGAACCAGTGTAAACGAATTGCATATAAGTGCAATATCTGGCTGTGCGTAATGCATATAATGTTCGGGGTACCGAGCAAAACATATGCACATACCTGCCAACTCTCGAATCTTGCTTCGCATTTTACGAAAAATGCTAAAAAGAGACCGCTGTTGGCAGTACCTTACACCGTCACAAAAGGGTGATAGGTGCCGTCCACGGCAGCGTCGTGGTTTCTACTATCCGTCTATCCGATGGTAACGGATCCAAAACCAATTTAAAGCCCAAAGCCTTTGTTCTTGTGTTCAGCGGCGCACGTTGGTTCGGCGTGTTCAGCCCTGGTTCGGCCTCGCTGTTTCGGCCATTTTCGTAGCAAGTAATACGGCGTCTGTGTTTGTTGCACGTGTAATCGTTGTTGCATTCCCCTAGTCGCGGTGGATTCGCGGCGCAATGACGAATCATAAACATCGAAAGAGGTACTCCCAGGTGTTCCTGAAGTCCTACACGTCGTAATTCCCGTCCAAGAAGGGGGAGAATTTGGATTTTGTACCCCGTGCACGTGTGATGTAAGAATGGGGCGAGCTTCGAATAAGCGTTTTCCCGCGAACTTTCTAAAGCGGGCGAAATCGGCAACAACGAAATCGCTTAAAAATAGACCGTCTTTCATTCCGAGAACTTTCAAAAGCAGACAAAATTGGCAGCAGAAAAATCACTGACAAAATACACCATCATTCATCCCAAAAAAGTGCCTGCCTCTTTAACCCCCCCCCCCCCCCCCACCCCCAGAAAAAAAAAAAAAAGCTGCGGAAGATTTGCGAATTGGAAAATCCACAGATTGGCAGGTATGCATTATGCAAATGATTCGGAGCTTCTCTGGCGCTATTCGTTTTTGCAAAGTGGCAATGTAGCGACCTAATTTTGGCCCGCCGTATTGAAATATGAGCGTAAACAAAATAAAGTGAAGACTTAAACGATGTTCACGAAACTGAAATAATCTTAGCCAGCTTCACTGGTTCGTTGTTTCCGAACGTTTTCGGCGCTTACTGCAGACGGTCATTAAGCAAGGTTCGTTCGCTCGTAGCGAAATGCCTCCGACCGCTTGTCGTCTGCTTGTTGGCGACCAACGCTTACCCCTCAAAACAAATGATGACATAAAATAAACCGCGTTTAACACAGCGATGCCTCGTTTAGTACCGCTGGATAGGGGCGTGCCAAAGTGGTCGCCGCGCTCATTTTTTCATGTTTAAGTTGCGTGACCAGTCAGCGGTTGGCGTCCTTAAATGTGCTGGCTGCCCGTCCGTCAAAAAACAGAAATCGACTGCACAACGCATTCCACTTTGTGTCGGAAGCGTCGGAAAACCGGTCTTGGTGAAACTCAGTGCCCGCGGCGAAACTAGCTATCTTCCTTTCGACCGTGCCGGTACCGATTTCGTTTCACCCTTGCGTTGCGTGGCCTGCAGCCATAAGGTATTTTCCAAATGTTGACTAGCTACCCTTTCATCTAAAAAATGGACTAATGGAATACTAAAGTCGATCGCACAGTATTATATGTTACAAAACACGTCGATATAAATGGATTGTGATGCCCACGGTCAACCGATCCCCCTTTTGACCGCCTGAATAATTTCCGCAGCGCCCCCTATATTCAATGGAACTTGCGAATTCACAGATATATAAGGACAAACTCGTGAAAGTCGGCTAAAAAACAAGTGATGCTGAAACGTGACGCTGAAAACCCGGAGCTTGCACTTGTTGCGTCTGATCCAGCGTCCAGATCTAACGTTGTCAAGATCTAATGAATGGCTCACGGTGACGTCACATGCAAAGCCATCGTAGTGAAGGACCTTACTGTTGCGCGCGTGCCTTCAGCAGGAAATATTTCAAACCGTCAAATTTTATTTTCTCTTTAGGCACAAGTAGGCACGACTATTGGTACGGTGCAATGACGTAACGTGCAAGCGTTATGTATAGCTGGGGCTTCTGGACTCTTTTTTTTTTCTATTCTACAATAGTGGTAACTAATACTAATAGGAACGCTCACTCAGCAGAAACACCCATTGAAGCTACCGACCCAACTTTGTAGCATTTGCGGTCAGCTTATGTTAAACGTTTTTTTAAAAAGAGCCAAATTTGTTGTAGAAAGCTTTATCGAGCTAGTTTATGGTCGTGATGATAATGCAATTAATGCAAAGGTGCAAGCGAGCTGGAAAATAATAACGATAATAATCCCTGGAGAAGGGGAACCAGGTGGGGCACAGGACAAACACAAATCTCCAAACGCAGCTAGGTGATGGTGCGTGACACAAAAAATCCGCCTTGTCCTGGTATCGAACCAGGGACCTGTCTATTTCCAGTAGAGCGCTCTGCAAACGGAGCTAATCAGGAGTTCGGCGTCAGTAGAGCAAACGGGTTTTAACAGCTGCCATCAGTCTAACACCAAAAACGGCCGAACGACCTGCATTTTAAGGTTAGGATAATAATACAATCAATGCAAAGGTGCAAGCGAGCGGGAAAAGAACAACGATAATAATCCCTGGAGAAGGAAAACAAGGGGGTCTAAAGACCAACACAAATCTACGCACATTTGTAGGTGAGTGGTGCGCGACTGAAAAAATCCGCCTGGTCCTGGTATCGAACCAGGGACCTGTCTATTTCCAGTAGAGCGCTCTGCGAACGGAGCTAATCAGGAGTTCGACGTCAGTAGAGCAAACGGGTTTTAACAGCTGCCACCAGTCTAACACCAAAAACGGCCGAACGACCTGCATTTTAAGGTTAGGATGATAATACAATCAATGCAAAGGTGCAAGCGAGCTAGAAAAGAACAACGATAATAATCCCTGGAGAAGGAAAACAAGGGGGACTAAAGACCAACACAAATCTACGCACATTTGTAGGTGAGTGGTGCGCGACTGAAAAAATCCGCCTGGTCCTGGTATCGAACCAGGGACCTCTCCATTTCCACTAAAGCGCTCTACCAACTGAGCCGACCACGAGTTAGACGCCAGTAGAGCAAGCACGTTTTAACAGATGCCACAGTCTAACAACAACAAGGGTGAACGGCCTGCATTTTAAGGTTGTTATGATAATGCAATTAATGGAAAGATGCAAATTAATCCCCGGGGTAGGTAAACAAGGGGACTCGAGAAGGGGAACAAGGGGACTCGAACATAAAGGGACTCGCTAACGGAACTCGATTATAACGAAACTGGCTGGGAAGATTGGTAAAACTAGCGATAATAAAAGATCATATCCAGAAGTTGGAGAAATCCGGCGGATTTCTCCGCGGTGCACGCATCATGTGACGAAACGTCAGACTTTTGTGATGCCGCACTGTGAGGTCAGCTTCACGAAGGAGTGGTGAGCGGTGCTCGGGCGGTACCCACAATTCCTGTTTGGCGACGGACTTGCTTATAAGAATATTTTGTCGGTAAAAGCTCTTGTTCAATGAGTGGAAACCTCTAAATTCGAGTGCGCTAACGCTGACAATTCCTCACACCGACACCTTGTTCACGTGAACAACGAAACGGAGGATGAAACAGCGCCCGCTGCTGATGTCACGCACAGCCCTCTGCGGATTTGTTTTTCTTCTGAAGACCGCTAAAAGCACCTGTTTTAGGAGCTTCGTAATACACTCCCATGATTATCTTGTGCTCTTATGAGCTTTATATTGAACAGTCCTGTAAGCTGCGCGGGTTATAGTAACACCAATATTCCTAACGAATAACGCAAAGACATTGCTTGTGTTCAGAGACATCTCAGGTGGTGACCAAAGTGGACAGCAATCTCCCATTTGTTGTCGTTGACTCATATGCAACGTAATGAATGTGCCATAAAAAAAAACAGCTCACGAAGCTCGAGCGCGATCAAGGCAAACGAAAACATCAGTTGCCACGTTAATTAGATGGTATTCACTGGACGTATTGTCGGCGCATGCTCGGGATGAGTTCTTATTTATGTTCTTCCAAAAAATACAATCTTGATGGTGTGCAGTGTGCTTGTTGGAAGCGCTGCGGGAGCGTGCCGTCAGAACGTGCTCAGCAGCCGCGAGCTCAGTTATGGCCGCCAGTGAATACCACTTACACTTTATGGAGGTGGTCAGGGGTTTGGCCACCGGAACAATTCAGTGCGTACGATCCACCGGCAGGTGCTCGGCGACGTTGATCACCCAAATCCTCTATCAAATTTCTCATTCTGGTTAGACGGGCAGGTGGCAGT